AAAAAAAAATAATACACTATGATCAGGTAGGCTTCATCCCAGAGACACAGGGATGTTTTAACATACGTAAGTCAATAAATGTAATCCAGCATATCAACAGAGCCAAGGTCAAGAATCACATGATTATCGCCACAGGTGCAGAAAAGGCCTTTGATAAAATTCAACATTCATTCATGCTAAAAGCTCTGGAGAAAATAGGAATAGAAGGAACATTTCTAAAAACAATAAAAGCCATTTATGACAGACCAATAGCCAATATTATACTTAATGGGGAAAAGCTACAACCAATCCTCCTAAAAACAGGAACAAGGCAAGGATGCCCACTGTCTCCACTCCTCTTCAACATAGTCCTAGAACCCTTAGCCAGGGCAATAAGGCAAGAAAAAGACATTAAAGGGATCCGCATTGGGAAAGAAGAAGTTAAACTATCCCTTTTTGCAGACGACATGATACTATACCTCCACGATCCCAAAAACTCCATCCCCAAACTTTTAGAAATCATAAGTCACTTCGGCAAAATAGCAGGATACAAAATAAACCCACAAAAATCAGTTGCCTTCCTATACACTGATAACGCACAGGAAGAGAGGGAAATAAAGGGAGCAACCCCATTCACAATAACCTCCCAAAAAATAAAATATTTAGGAATTAACCTAACCAAAGATGTAAAAGAACTATTTAATGAGAACTATAAAAAGTTAAAGAAAGAAATTGCAGAAGACACTAGGAAATGGAAAGACCTCCCATGCTCCTGGATAGGCCGACTTAATATAGTAAAGATGGTGATACTTCCAAAACTAATATACAAATTCAATGCAATTCCTATTAAAATCCCAATGACGTACATCACTGAAATACAGAAAACAGTCCAAAAATTTATATGGAACAACAAAAGACCTAGAATAGCCAAAACAATTCTAGGGGATAAAGACAATATGGGAGGGCTATCCATGCCGAACTTCAAACTCTACTACAGAGCTATAATCACAAAGACAGCATGGTACTGGCACAAAAACAGACCCGAAGACCAATGGAACAGAATAGAAGATCCAGAAATAAATCCACAGGCCTACAGCCAGCTGATATTCGACAAAGGAGCCAAAGACATACAATGGAAGAAACACAGCCTCTTCAACCGCTGGTGCTGGGAAAACTGGGCAGCCACATGCAGAAAACTAAAAGTGGACCCCAGCCTATCACCATGCACCAACATCAACTCAAAATGGATTAAAGACCTTAACATTAAACCTGAATCTCTGAAACTACTGCAGGACAGAGTAGGAGAGACACTTGAACTAATAGGCACAGGAAGGAACTTCCTGAACAGAGTCCCAGGGTCACAACAAGTTGGAGAGAGACTCGACAAATGGGACTACCTTAAAATAAAAAGCTACTGCACAGCTAAATCTATCGCAACCAAGCTAGAAAGACAACCAACTAATTGGGAAAAAATATTTACCAGCAATATATCAGACAAGGGGTTAACATCCTGTATATACAGGGAACTCAAGAAACTAATCCCTCCCAAACCTAACAAACCAATTACTAAATGGGCAAGGGAACTAAAGAGGGACTTCTCAAATGAAGAAATAAAAATGGCAAAGAAACACATGAGGAAATGTTCATCATCCCTGGTGGTGAAGGAAATGCAAATAAAGACAACCCTGAGATACCACCTTACCCCAGTCAGAATGTCCCACAACCACAAATCAGCCAACGGACAAATGCTGGAGGGGATGTGGAGAAAGAGGAACCCTATTACACTGCTGGTGGGAATGTACACTTATACAACCACTTTGGAAAGCAGTCTGGAGGGTCCTTAGAAAGCTAAAGATTGACCTCCCTTACGACCCAGTCATACCACTTCTAGGCATCTACCCTGAACAACAGGAACCAATATACAAGGACACGTGCACCTCCATGTTTATTGCAGCACTGTTCACAATAGCTAGGATATGGAAACAACCTAGGTGCCCCACCACAGATGAATGGATCCAAAAATTGTGGTATCTATACACAATGGAATATTATGCAGCCATTAGAAATGACAAAATAATGGCATTTGCAGGGAAATGGATGGAGCTAGAAGGAATCATGTTGAGCGAGGTAAGCCAAGAACGAAGAGACAAACGGTACATGGTCTCCCTCATAAGTGGATGCTAAATCCAAAAGGTTAGGTGATACGACAAAACTAACAGGACTTAAGAAACAAAGAACTCCCGCTCATCTGGTTGAACCACTACTAAATATCCTCATGCTGCTGATCACAAATATGGTATATAACATGTGAACACTGTTATATATTACAGACTGTGGTAGACAATTTGCTCCAGGGAAGTTAGAATGAACTTGTGACTTTGAAATTATGTAATCATTTAATCACAATCAAAAAAAAAAAAAAAAAAAAGAACCTCGGGGAAGGGAGGGAGGGAGGGGATGGTAGGGGGAAAACAATGGAGGGGGTAACAATGTTCAAGAGGAAGTGTACTCATAACCTCACTCATGTAACTGTAACCCTCTGTATAGTAGCTTTACAATAAAAAAAAAAATATCTTAGAAACAATCGCATGAAAGTAAAAAACACTTGAATACTTATCTTGGGGTTCATTTCACCTAACATCAACATATCTGACCTTTTCTGATTGTCTCAGACATATACTAGTTATTACAAATAAGGGAAACCATGGGACCTATATTTCTTTGGGCCTGGCTTACTTCACTTAGTGTAATTTTTTCCAAGTCTTTCCATTTCCTAACAAATGGGGCAATGTCCTTCTTTCTAATGGAGGCATAGAATTCCATTGTGTATATATACCACATTTTCTTGATCCATTCATCTACTGAGGGACATCTGGGTTTGCTCCATATCTTAGCTGTTTTACCAGCACTATTATGAAGCTCCCTCCCTCCTTACTTCAACCCTCTCTTGTACCTTCATAGCATTTGTCGTTGTTTGCTTTCTTGTTGATAGCCATTCTGACTGGGACAAAATGGAATTACTTCCATTTCCTTTGTAAATAAGAATGTTGAACATTTTTTGATGTATTTATTAGCCATTAGTGCTTGGAAGCCTTTCAACTTCCTTGCTCACTTATTAGATTATTTGTTTGTTTGTTTGTTTTGGTCTTTAATCTTTTGAGCTCTATATATAACAAATGTCCTTTGTCCAATGAAAAACTTGCAAAGATAATCACCCATTCTATCAGTTATCTCTTCAATTTCACCTATAATTTTTAACAGAAATACTCTTCAGGTTTAGCACTAAACGATCTCCAGTCTTTTAGCTTTAAATTATTATGAGTGTGTGTGTGTGTGTGTGTGTGTGTGTGTGTGTGTGTGTGTGTGTGTGTGTGTTACTGGGGGTTGAATTCAGGGTCTTGTCACTTGAAAGGCAAGTGCTCTACCAATATAGTTATGCCCTCAATTTTTGTGATTTTGATTATTCATAAAAAGAAAAGAGCTGGGAACATGGCTTAGTGGTAGATTTCTTGCCTAGCATGCATGAAGCCCTGGGTTCAACTCCAGTACCACACAAACAGAAAAGGCCAGAATTAGTACTGTGGCTCAAGTGTAGAGCACTTGCCTTGTGCACAGAGGCTCCGGTTCAGTGCCTACACCCTGAGTTCAAAACCCACAACTAACCAAAAAATAAAAAAAAGTAGAAATGGCTTTATATTTTTAACAATGTTATTAGTCTTGGAATGGGAACACTGGAGAAGTGGGTTGTTTTGTTTTGTTTTTTTGTCGGTTATGGGGCTTGAACTCTGGACTTGCGCACTGTCCCTGTGCTCTTCAGCTCAAGGCAAGCGTTCTACTCTTGAGCTATAGCACCGCTTCCAGTTTTCTAGTGGTTTATTGGAGATAAGAGTCTCACGGATGTTCCTGCCCGGGCTGGCTTTGAACGGTGATCCTCAGATCTCATCCTCCTGAATAGCTAGGATTACAGGCCTGAGCCACCGACGCCTGGCTTTTAAGTCATTCTGCTAATCATGTCTAGAGTAATTGCTGAGGGTACAGTACAAGTACTAAATTTAAGAAAATGCAACCACTAGAAACAATCTTAAGGAATAAGTATAATTATTGTAAACTGGTTTAAAGAGATAAGAGCTGATTTATCCACACATCAGAAGTCTAGAGACAAGCAGTCATGGCTCATCTAGCAATTCACCTTTGACACTGGGGACTTGGACTCTTTTTTCTTATATTTCCATTAATGTATGGGCTTACAGTCTTAGGTAAAAAATCACTACTGTGTCTCCATCCATGTTCCAGAAAGAGTTTTAAAAGTGCTAAAGTTTTGTGGGGGTTTTCCCTCAGAAAGCTTTGTGTCTTTATCTTTTTATTTGTAATAAGATTTCTGCAATGTGGACAGTAAAGTAGGATAAGGGGAATAAAGAATGATGGTAGATACTATTACATATCGTCAACAAGGGCCTCTCTGATATGATATTTGAGCAGAGACCTGAAAGAAATAATTGATGAATAATCTTGTAAAATCTTGAGGAAATCATCCAAGAGAGAAAACAGCAAGTACAGAGGCCCTGAGAGGAAATATACTTGGTATGATTAATGAAAAGAAAGGAGCTAGCATTACTAGAGAAGTTAGGAAATATAATTATAGGGACAATAACATTCTGGGCTTATGGGTCCTAAGAAAAATTTTACTATAAGTGAAATGGAATGTCTGCAGAGTTGTAAGCAGAGAGTAGCATGGTCCAGTTTGTGGTTGAAGCCACAAACTGTGAAAGCAAGATTATCTTAGGTTTGTATCTTAGCTCTTTGCTTACTTGCTCTGTGATCTAGGCAAATATATATATATATAGAGAGAGAGAGAGAGATGTATGTATGTATGTATGTATGTATAGCATGGCTATGTATTCAGAGCAGGAAAAAATAACATTTTACGAGGGCACTTGAAATTGGATGTTAAAAGCCCTTACTTAGTAAATACTTGTTAACCAGTGTTCGTCATATTCTCAGTTAACTATCTTCCTGTTTAGGCCACAGTGCTGTGGATATCACCAAGGTAGCTAGAAGACACCGGATGTCTCCTTTTCCTCTGACATCTATGGACAAAGCCTTTATTACAGTCCTGGAGATGACGCCGGTGCTTGGGACAGAAATCATCAATTACCGAGGTACTATATATTTTACCTGTTATCCTTTCTTTTCTTCATTTTCTAAGTAAGATTCATACAACATAAAGGTACAGTTTTATTGAATGAGAAAGATGATTTGCTATTGTCATAACAAGTAAATACTTTTGGGGATTTTTCTTCTCAATTATATCAACCTTAGCAGTACAGAATATAGCACGGACAAAATTCCTTTTCAATTAAAAAAATGAGGAAAAAGAGCAGTTTTATATTCAAAATAGCAATACTCTAGCCTGAAATGAGTAACATTTTCTTACTCACCACTAAGGGAGGGAATGATAGCTGAGTCTATCTGATGACTTTCTGCCAGAAGTGAGCAGTAACTGTTTTGTAACCACACTGACCTGGTATAGAAAACCTACAGACAGTTCCTGATTTACAATGGTTCCACATAAAATGTTTCAACTTGCTAAATATCATTACTTGATTATTGTTAAATTTCTTTAAAAATAGTTCACCTATCATAGGAGTAAATTAATTATCCCTATTGTCTTTTAACAGTTTTCTTTAACATTTGTCCTAAGAAAAATCAAACTTAAGTCACATTTAAAAGGGATTTGGGAATGGCCATTTCATTTTTCCTGCAGGAGAAAAATGCTGTCAGATGTATTCTCTTTTCCTTTGATGGGTATTTCCTCTTCATTTGTTCATCAGAGCAGTTGTCACTCGTAAGTAAGCAAACTCTTCATGGATGGTTAACTTCTTTCTCAAGTGTTTCCACCGTGATTATGAAAAATAATAATGAGGTTTGAATTCAACCTTTGAATTGGATAAACTCAATTTTTAATGCAACAGAGAACACATAAGCACTTTAATTACTTCAAAAACATCATATAGAAAACATGCCAGGCACTGGTGGCTTATGCATATAATCCTAGCTACTCAGGAGGCTGAGATCTGAGGTTTGAAACCAGCCTAAGCAGAAAAGTCCATGAGACCCTTATCTCCAATTAACCACCAGAAAACTGGAAATAGTGCTGTGGCTCAAAGTGGTAGAACACTAGCCTTCAGAAAAAGAGTTCAGGGACAGCACACAGGCCCTGAGTTCAAGCCCAACAACTGACAAAAAAATAAAAATAAAAAGCATAATTCAATTTGTTCAACAAATGTTGGTTAAGCATCTACTAAGATAGTTACTGCATTAAGACATATTTTTTATAATAAAACAGCTGCCTATGAATCATAGTCAGTGCCAAGAAATGTAACTAAACAATATTCTCATCTCCTTTACTGGCTCTTTCTCAGACTTGCCTTATTTGTCAGTTCCTTGAATTAGGCTTTATTTAGGGTTTTCCACTATGCCTATTTTCATATCTTGTATGTGCACTGTACATGGCCTTTTGCATGTTAGTGGTTTCTAATACCGCTTACCAATTATTGAGTGATTTTAAAATCTATGAAATTGTCCAGACTTTGTAAGAGCTAAAAAAATCATATGTTGTGTAAATTACATATCTGATGCCAATAAATTTAACATGAGAAATACTAAGCTTTCTCAACTTCTACAATACCTGTTTATTCTACATCCTCTTGAACCTATCTCTCGATCTCCATCCCAACTACTATTGTTTTTGTTTAGGTCTTTGGAATTTACTTCCTGGATTATTATATGTGCTCCAATTAACATCTTCCCAATCAATTATCTGATTAGATGTCAAAGTAATCTGTTCAGATGCAAATTTGTTATTAACACTCCTACTACAATTCTTCAGAACAGTGAAGGTGAGCATAGCCCAAGATAAAACCAAACTCCTTGACATAATCCTTTTTATACTTTCTTCTCTTACTCTTTTACCATCAAAACTTTCTTCTCCACAAACCTGATGTGCTGTGTTTCTTACCTCTAAGACTTAGATTATGTTGATAACCATACCTCTAAACATTTTGGTTATGCTTGAGGCTTTATCTTATTTCTCTGACTAATTAATAAATTCTTAAGATGAATCTTAAGAGCCTCTTCTCTATGAGGACTTCCCTTGTGTCTGCTATCTTTTCCTAACTGATTTAACTATCTTTTCCCTCATGTTCATATGCTTTATAATAACACAGACTGGCATTTGTTTGTGACGTATCGTGCATTGAAAAGTAGAGTGCTGGGCTGGGAAGGTGGCTCAGTGGTAGAGTACTTGCCTTGCATGCATGAGGCCCTGCGTTTGATTCTTCAGTACCACATCAGCAGAAAAAGCCAGAAGTGGTGCTGTGGCTAAAGTGGTAGAGCACTAGCCTTGTGATGAAATGCTGAGGGACAGCACCCAGGCCCAGAGTTCAGGCCCCACAACCAACCAAAAAAAAAGAAAGAAAAGTAGAGTGCTGTAAGGGTGGGTCACTATGAATTGTCACAAGTTAAATATGACCTGCAATTCTCTTACTGAAAAAAGGAGTTCTCTCCAGAAGAAAAAAAGGTTAGAAACAAGTTATCACTGCATTTTTCAATGTTTTCTTTACTTGGACATGTGGCAAAAAGGGAGTAGAACTATCTATCCTCTTAGGGCTCTGCAAATAAGATCATGGTAGCAAAAGGAGAGACTAGATTCAAAATGAAGAAAGAGAGAGCATCAGGAAAGTAGTGATAGGACAGCTGAAAAGGACAAAGAAACAGAAAGATGGGGTAGAAAATAATTCACAGCTCCAACCCCAGCTCCTCACAAGGGAGAAGAGGCCAAAGACACAACCAAAAGGTAAGCTAAATGTCCCTGGCAGCAAACTGGTAATTCTAACCTCAGGATAAGCCCACACTTCTCACTTGCCTTTAAGACAGTGTATGGATTTGATGTGACTGTAACTATGCTTGAGTGGCAGGCTAACCTTGGAAAAGACAGACAATTTGTTACTCCCCTGTGATTGGATAGTTATAGCAAGATACATCTTAACAGAAAAAGCTGATTTTCATGACTGAGCTACTCTCAGGATATGAAAACAAGGAGGAAAGGAATATACAAGTAATAATGGAAGAAGTTATATTTTCTTTAAAAGGCGCTGTGATGGCTAGGGGCATATGTTTTACTTAAAAGGGCCTCATGCTTTCTAGGAGCAGTGTTTTTCCTTTAGTTACTTTTTTTTTTTTTAGATAGGGTTTGAAGTTTTTGCCTAAGCTGTCCAGTACTGTGATCATCTTATTTACACCTCCTGCATAGCTAGGATTACAGACATGTGCCCAACTTTTCAAATGGTTGAGATGTACACTCACAGACTTTTTGCTCAGGATAACTTCACACTATGATCTTCTTGAGTAGCTAGAATTGCAGATATAAGCTACTTCAAAAGACAGTAGTTTTCTTTTGTCTTTGGTCTACCCTTTCACATATCTGCTATTTTTAACCTCTGTTTCCAAGTGAGACTTTTAAGGACCAAATACTCTGTTGACATAAACAGCTTTCTTTTGGCTTCTTCAGAGCGGGATAACTGGTGTTATGATTTGGATATATAGTACAGTGAGGGAGAGAGGAGGGGAGAAAGAGAGAGAGAGAGAGAGAGAGAGAGAGAGAGAGAGAGAGGCAGGCTATGTGTTGAGGGGTTAGTCCAGCTAGGAGCTATTTGGGGAGGTGCTGGAAACTTTACCTGGTACAGTATAGTTGAAGGAAGTAAGCCACTGTGTCCTTGGGGCTATACCTTGACCTCTTCCTGTTCCCTATTTGTACCATCAGATAAATAACTTTCTTCCTCCTTGCCCCTCTGCCATAATCTTTCACCAAATAACAAACCAGAAATAATTTGTCTGGCTGACCATGGACTGAAACCTCTAAAACTATGAGCTGAAATAAATATTTCTTCCTTTTATTCTCTCAGCTATTTTGTCATAGCTATTTAAAACTAACACACCAGACATAGTGAATGATATTTGTATGACTACCATTTATGATTCATTGTTATTACTGATAAATGTAATGACATGAATAAATTACACCTTCATACTTGGTATAGCACTAGCAAGTATAAAACAAACAATATTCTGGCATTATTCCCTGAAATTGCCCTTTTCTTTCAGTTAACAATGAAAAAATTACAAAGTGCCAAAAGAAAAGATTCTAGTGTCTTGGGAACTTTGTCTTAGACTACAATCACTAGCTTTCTTGTTCAAAATTACATGATTATGGCTGGCAATTTGGCTTAGTGGTAGAGTGCTTGCCTAGTATGCATGAAGCCCTGGATTCAATTCCTCAGTACCACATAAACAGAAAAAGCCAGAAGTGGTGCTGTGGCTCAAGTGGTAGAGTACTAGCCTTGAGTAAAAAAATGCTCAGGGACAGTACCCAGACCCTGAGTTCAAGCCCCAGGACTAGCAAAAAAAAAAAAAAAAATTACATGATTAACAACTTCAGCATCTCTGACTTGGATTTCTTTTTTTTTTTTTTTTCCTGCAGAAAGCTTCAACAGGTCTAGCTGAGGAAACTGAGCTTTCCTATTGAACTGAATTGGAAAGGATGAAACATCTCTTTTAGCATACTGACCACATCACGAACACATGTTCCTATTTCTGACTTCTAGCTTGCTAGCTGCCTAAATATTGACAGTTATCTGTAGCAGAGATTCTCCTCTCCTGATTTCATTCAAACTGTCCTCACTAAGGTGGTTTACAAATCATGCTAGGAGTTCATTAACTCCTCCTCATTGTTCAGTAGCTAAGGAAGCAGAGAATAAGGAAGAAGAGAGCAAGATTTACTTGAAAGCATTTTACCATCAGATACTCCTTACCTTGCTCTGCCTTTTACCAGCTGAGGGACTAAAAGTTACCTTTTACTAATTATGTAACTGAACAAATTACATATATCCTCATTACATCTCTAACATATGTATATCTCATATTCTATTTCTGCATCTTAGTACATCATTAAATTTATACTTCTGTCTACATTTCTTTAACCAACTTTTTTACAGTAGTCCATTGTAATCCATAGAAAATATGTTTTAAGGACCCTCCAAAGGGTGCTGCTGATAATACTGAACCCAGTATTATATAGGCCCTTCAGTATTACCACATAGTA